ACTAAAATGTAATGTTGCTCTACCTATTAACTCGGCTATCTGTCTATCTAAGAACTTTACTTTAAAATTTATAAATACTAATATTTAAATCTGTTTTTTTTGTTTTTTACAGGTACATTAAGATAATAAGATTCCATTAATTACCCTTGGTGCTCTGGTTTCCCATACATAAGCTTAGTGATGTAGGTTGTCAGGTATTTGTATAGAGGCGGGATTCTTTACAATAAGTGTCTGTGACTTGTTGGCGATAAAGTTTAATAAATTGACAGCACACAATCCACTTGTTTCAAAATATATTCAAAACAAGGCAAACCTATGTACAAAAATCTTTACACTATTGTTTACCACAGTTGAATCTAGAACTTTAAATAATTCTCTTTTCGTCAAAGTCCACACAGGCGGGTTCAATTACTTTAGAAAAACCCTTTGGCAAGACATTCTCCTCTATCACTGTTTACAATGCAAACTGTGATACGTTTACTTTAGAAATCCCCCATTATGGCTAAACTGACAATCACCAGTCTACCTTCACTTTAAATTCTTTATCTGCACGTACTTATAACATGCGACAGAAAAATCTAGAAATTTCTAACTCTCTAGTAGCAACAATATTACACATAAGAAAACTCAGAAGCTTTGAGTAAGATGACTTCAACAATATTACAAAAGCCTAACACAATTAAACTGCATACACAACGTATGACTCGTACTGAGTTACATAAAGAAATTTGTCATAACTATTACTTTTAAAATAATAACTTTAACACTCTTGTTATGAAAACTAAATAATCATTAAATATTAAGTCACTAAATAGTCTTGTTTATCCAACAATAAGCCCCTCTTCAAGAAAAATATTTCCAATATACATTTTTTACTATATACAAACCGTTCTGAATTCATACACAAAGTCTCCTCTTATGGTCTGCCCCAACATTTGCAGTTCCTTTGTTGATCTCTCTTCGCATAGGAAATCTGATAGGGTTTCACTTTGACAGGATCCCTTGTCAACAAATCACAATATGCCAGTAGGTGAATACTATGTCGGGGACAAGAAAGTGAAAGTCATATGAGACACTGGATGCAGCAGTGAGAACCAGTCTAGTATCAGATGACAGGCAAGGAACATCTATGTGTGCTGATTTATGGAACAGTGAGAAAGCTCCCTATAGCAAGAAGGCACCCAACTATGACTTGGTGATTGGAAATATTTTGGACAGTAGACGTTTAGAGGGACCAGACAGAAAGATGGCTGAAGCATCTGCAGTCACCTATACAGCTCAAGAAAGGAAGAGCAAGCAAGAATCAAGCCCCTGCTAGTATCAAAAGGCAATACCCTGAATGTAGGTCTGCAGGAACTAAAGGAAGCACAGAAGAACGACACTTCATTGCAGAAACTTTGGGACAGTGCCCAGGAGAAAGTAGAGCACAAGACAAAGGGACCTTACAGAATAGAGGACCAGAAGGGAGTATTGTACTGGATCTATGTAGTTATACTGTGGAAGCTAAACAGTTCATAGTACCAACAGAATACTGGACTCGCGAGTCAATTGTGGGAGGATACCCAGGAGTAAAGAAGATAGCAGACAGAATCACCAGCAGGAGATGTGAGCAGATTCTGCAGGTCATGTGACATCTGCTAAAGGACAATACTTAGAGGGAAGGCAGCCAAGGTGCCACTAAGTGAAACACCTCTCATAGAAGAGCCATTCAGCAGAGCAGCTGTGGACTTGATTGGACCACTAGCATGTTTCTGACAAGAGCAACCAGTATGTGCTGACAGAAGTCGACTCTGCAACCTTATCCAGAAGCCATTCCACTGCCAAAGATAAGAGACAGAGAGAGTAGCGGAAGCCCTCCTGGAAGTGTTCTGCAGAGTGGGCTTTTCAAAAGAAGCCCCGAGTGACAGAAGGACCCAGTTTACTTCAGAACTGATGCAAGGTGTGCAGTCATCAGTACTAGGCAGCTCTTTACCAACCTAGATGTAATGGACTTTGTGAGCATCAATGGAGTCTTAAAGAGCATGCTGAAGAAGATGTGCCAAGAGAGACCACATGACTGGGACAAGTACCTGCAGGCTTACTGAGAAGTCCTACAAGCAAGTACAGGATTTTCACTCTTTGAGTTACTGTCTGTAAAAACTGTACAAGGTCCAGGCAGATATTGAAAGAGCTATGGACAAGAGAAGAGTCAGAAGTGAGAAACGTATACCAGTAGGTGTTAGATCTCATACACCAACTGGAGGAGACCTGTCAATAGCTGAAGGCAGTTAGAAGCACTTCTATGACTAGAAGGCCAAGGATAGACGTTCAAGTTTGGGCAGAAGGTCTTACTTCTGCTACTCGCAGACAAAAACAAACTCACCCTGCATTGGAAAGGGCTTTTGGAGGTGCAGGAAGTGGTCAATAGAATGGACTATAAGGTGAAAGTGGATGGTATGACCGAAATCTACCATGCCAATCTGTTGAGAGGGAAGAAGACATAATGGGTGCAGCTTTTGAGGCACAGATGGATGTTGAAGGTGTGGCTGTCATACACACAGAACCAAAATACAGTGACTTTGTCATAGAATGAGCAATATGTGAATGACATTCTGACACACACAGCCAGATAGGAAAACCACCTGAAGAAACTGAGGGAGCTGTTCAGACGAGTAAAGGCAGCAGGTCTGACCATCTAAGTGCTACATCGGCTATCCTATGCTGGACACAAGATGGGCAACTAACAGATAACCATTGAAGAAGAGAAGCACCAGCTCCAACAATCAAGTAGCAAGTCAGATCCTTCCTAGGGTTAGCAGGATACTACAGGAAGTTCATCCCAAACTTCACTGACATTGCTGCACCATTGACTGACCTGACCAAAAAAGGTCCACTCATCAAAGTGAAGTGGGAACAACCACAGCAGATGGCACTCCAGAAGTTAAGGAACATGGGAAGTTCATCAATCCTTAAAATGCTAGGCTTCAACAAACCGTTCATAGTTCAGGCTGTTCTGAATTGAAGCCTGCGAGGGGACTGCAGATGTTGGTGCAGACTTTATGTATGAACTAAAAAGTGTTTGTATATAGTGTAAATATTCTTGAAGATGGGGATTATTGTGAGATATGCACAACTGTTCATTTTAAGTTAATACAAGAGTATCATTTAGTTTATAATCTGCGAGCATTGGTTATTTTCAGAAGCAATATTTATGGCAAGTTTGCTTACCTAACTGTTTATGAATTATTTGTTATGTAGTACAATTTATGTGAATTGACGTCAAGTTACTCAAACCTTCTGTATTTTTCAAGTTGCCTTGAGTATTGTTACACCATAGAATCTCGTCGTTTGAAGAAAATTCTAGGCCTCAGTATGAAAAAGTGTGTGTATTTATATATATATATATATATATATATATATATATATATATATACTACTACACACACATACTATACTACTAAGTAACGTAACCTAACGTAAGTACGAA